TAGAGAGTGGATGGGGAGGAAGACCACTACATTTCCATGAAAGGGAAAAGAAACCTTCGAGGTCCTATACCAGCCAATGCCTCCAGATCGCTCTGTTATAGCGGAGTGGGCACAGCGTCGAGTCCCTGTGATGTCAGCACACGGGGCTCGGTGAATTCCTAGCAACACGCCTGCTTTCACAAGCGGAGCGCTGGCGGCTGTGAGTCAGCACTCCGCTGGCTCCGACTTCCCATTGACAAACGCTCTTCTGTGGAAAGAAGGGCCTCTTCCAGCAGCGCTGACTCCTTACGGACTGACTTATCCTGGCGGATTGCGGCATGCAGCCACTCGCCTTCCTGTTCTGAACAATGCGCTCTTCACCCCGGGTCAGAGGGGTTTAAGTCATCTTTCTCTCTGCGCCTTCGCTGTTTTGCTCTCTGCCTGCCCCATCTCTCTCCACTGCTTTCCCACACACACGCTCAAACCTGACTTTCGGCAGAACCCAGAGGATGACTTCATGCTACCTAAACATACCGCGCGATTCAGTGGGAAGACAAGGCGCTGTGAGAGAAAAGGGGCTTTCCTATTCCACGTCTGCTCCGGGCTTGCTTTGAGGGAGCCCTGAGACCCCGAATACAATTCACCTCAGCAGAGTCCAAATGCCTGGGCCTGCAGTCTTTGTCACCAGCTCTGAGGCCCACTTCAACCTCGGACTTTGCTACACTCAGGAAATTCACAGCTGGTTGACAAGACAAGTTCGGAGCTGAAATTCCCAGAAGACACAAGTGACAGAAAAAAAAAACTCCCCAAAAACCTGAATGTGGAAAACCCCAGTCTGTGCTGGAAGGGTTGTTGCTCCCTCTTCCTTCCCACGCAGAATACACAACCGTGCCTGAATTTACTCCTCCCGTCTTCACCTAAAGACAGCGAACTTTCACCTCGGCGCTGTTAGATGGGGTTAGTCACCCGCGGGCTGTTTGTGTGCCAGGTGCTACGGACAGCTGAAAAACTGGAATGAAAATTATTTTCTGTTTGAAACAGGTTTAAAGCAAACTGTTTACAGCGTTTATTATTATATTGCTTTCCAAGTATTTTTGTTTGGAATTTAAAAGTGTTCTTTGAGGTTAATAATAATAATCTTACACTTACATAGTGCTTTTCTGCACAAAGTGCTTCACAGATAATGGGGTCCCCCCTCCGTGTGGCCCTAGGGTGAGACTGGGACTGTACCATGCCCCAGATCAGAGTGGTGTTTTAATTCGTATAGGTCAGCTTCCCCTCTGCCTGCCTGCTTCCCGTCACAGATACTCAAGCTGCAGTTTTTCTGCAGCTGTTGCTGGAGAGTCCGGGAAGAGCCACAGACAGAACCCGGGCAGCCGCTGCAGAGAAGTGGGGACGGGCCCGATTGGGCAATACTCATGCGAGCAACTTCCCCCCAGGGGCATTCAGGAAGAGGGACTGGGAGCTACTGCTCCGAAGTGGAGTTTGCTGGCAACTTCTCCCTGAGCGTCAGTGACTACAGGAGTTGCTGTACTCCAGCGAGCCTGACCTGCACTCTGGGCTGGTGGGGTGACCTTGGACAAGATAGCACAAGCCACAGATGCTGTGTCTGAAGTACCCTGGAAGGACACCATTATAAACATGATAATCAGCTTATTTTTGTCATTGTTGATATTATAGGTTCTACTTTTGTATGATGCAGAAGGGGAGCTTTAAAAAAACTAATCTAAAGAAATGCACAATTCATCTCATGACTTGAGTTTGCCTTTGACTCTTTGACTATATATATGTGAAAAAATTGTAGGGGGTGATATTTCTGCAATTTCCTTATTAACATATAAATGTACTGTGGAAAAATGTCTGAATAAAATTGATTTTTTTTTTGCCTTTAAGACGTGATTACTCTGGAGCTCTGCGCCTCAGCGGGGGACTGTCGTACACTAACCCCTCTGGAAACTGCTCAAACACAGCGGCTGGAAACCCTGTTATCTAAGAGACAGGAGCTGAGATAAGGACAGACAGCCTTGGTTTCAGTGACACATCAGGCTCCTGAACTTCCTGTGTCTCGGCTGGCAGATCTCTGAAGGAGGGACCTTGAGCTTAATCAAGCTAACGACTGCACTTCCATTCACCCTCAAGGGGCTGAATTACTCTCAGACACATGAAGAAGTCAGATGTGTATTGGACAATGACGCCCTGTATCAGTTGTCAGCCCAGATGCTGTTTCCATGCCTGTGTAATCTGGCCTGGGCAGTGGAATGAATTACTCAAAGCAAACGGGTGTCTCGATCGTTCACCTTCCTCCTGCAGCTCCAGCCTGGGCCCCTCCCCCCAGTACTGGCAGGCAGGTGGCTGTTGGGATTGTTGTTTGTGCTGCTGCCGGTTTGCATCCTTCAGCTGTGACGGTGCTTTTTAACGAAGTGAGTTGAAGCCAGAGAAACACTGTGCCGGTGCTCCGTTCATCCTGCAAGACTGCAGCTGCTTGATCGTGGGATACAGATGTCTTTGTATTGCGGCACACATGCAAATAAGCCTTTCATTGCACTTGTGCACGTGACAATAAACTGAACTGAGGCGATCGAGGGCGTCATTCGCTTTTTCTGCCCTCTGCCAGGGAGGCTGGGGACCATGCAGATTAGATATGTCATTTATACTAAGCTAAATCGGTGCGTTTGTTTGTACCTGCCTGGCGTCTCTTGGTTTGATGATGCTGTGCGTTTTCTGAGGCTTGCAGAGAAGCCGAGCCCAGAGCTCACAGCTGGCTTATTGCAAGCTTCAAAGGGAAACCTCAAGGTGGTGCATTCAGAGGCAATCTGCTTTCAGTGCGTCTGCTGCTCAGTGTGTCAGCCGGTGTTTGTGTGTGGGGGTGGAAGGCTCTTCCTGTGCTGTTTCACACACAAGCTCTGAGTGGGAGACCTCTCTCTCTTTCACTCAGAAGACCTTCACACGTTAACCCCAGGTGCCGAGGGCCCAACGGCTCCAGGTGGAAAAATCTACTGTACACCTCGAGAGGCTCCGTTGGCGCCTCTTCGTCACTCTTTATTCAGCATTTTCGTTAACCGAGAGAAAAACAGAACAAAAACACGCTCTTGCTTGTGCAACATCACAGTTCACTGCCGGGCGCGCTTGCCTGCTCCACGCTGATAAACCAAACGCTCTGAAATCAGTTACAGTGGTTTCTCTTCGGAGTTGCCATACAGAAACCACACTTTCCAGACCTTTTGTGTTGCATTTTTAATGTTATCCTCCCACGGCCCCTCATTCACTTGACAGGCCTTTTATAGGCTGCTGTCATTTCTCTGTGCCATTGTAACTCATGATTACTCAGCAGGCTGTGTGAGGGGCTCCCCACTGCAGTCCTGGGTACCCCAAGGTCTGGTTTGTTCCCGTTAGCCCCTGGCACGCTCCTCTGTGTACCTGTGTGGTCCCAATCCCCCCTGGCAGAGTGTGGGGTGAGCGGATGAGGGCCTCCGTGATGAATGGAGCACAGCAGTGTTTCTCTGGCTTCACCTCGCCTCATTAAAGAGCACCGTCGCAGCTGAGGGATGCAAACGGCAGCACAGACAACATCCAAACAGCCACCTGCCCGCCAGCATCTCCTACAGGGTGTGAACCCCCAGACACAGCTTGAGCGCTGACTTTGTAGGAAGTGTGAGGGCCTCACACCTTACTTAACAATCCACGGGACAAAACTGGAATTCTCTAACTGTTCTCGGCTTGCTTAAACATTTTGGAGATGCGCATTGTTGATTGACGATTGTGTTCCATCACTGGTGCCAATTCCCCCGCTCTCCAATGGGAAAAAGAACTCCTTAGTTCAGTGTAGGAAGGAACTCAGCTGGAGCAAACTAATAACATAATAACCCCCCCAGAATAATAATAATAATAATAATAATAATAATAATAATAATAACCTTCCTCAGACATCATGTCATGGGCAACCGAAGCACAATTCAACTCAAGTCTGTCCCCCATTTCCACTCTCACAGGACATCGCTCCCCTGTTTCCCCAAACCCCTTCAGGGGGCCATGATTGCATTAGGGGGCTCCCTGCCCTTCAAATACTCTCCAGGGTGGAACATGCCGATAGTCTCAGAGTCATATTATTTTTAACCTTTTAGCCATATAGGTACTGACAAAGAAAATACAAAGTCAATGTTTTAGCAGTGCCTATGAAAGGCTGGTGGCTCTGTGGCCCAGGATCTGCACCTGTGGCTGGAAGGTTGCCGGTTCAAATCCCACAGCTGGCAGAGGAATCCTACTCCATTGGGCCCCTGAGCAAAGCCCTGAACCCCAACTGCTCCAGGGGTGCTGTACAATGGTTGACCCTGTGCTACGACCCCAAGTTTCCCTCCCTGTCTGTGTGTCTCATGGAGAGCAAGCAGGGGTATGTGAAAAGATGAATTCCTAATGCAAGAAATTGTATAGGGCTAATAAAGTGAAGTTCTGTTTTGTTATAAGGCTTTCTCAAAGACTATCTTAAATGTAATCTGACCTACATATATCCACCAGTTAAGTAAATACACATAAGCCTGGTTACTTAAACTTATACCAACTTCAAGTCACACCAAAGATCAAAAGATTAAAACCTTAACAACTATCAGCAGTTCACATGCATCACACATGTACACACAAGCGCTCGCCCGTTTCCCTTTCCCAGGCGAGGTGGGGCTGCACACTGGTGGTGGTGGAGGGAGGACAGTCCCCATTACCTGTAAGGCGCTTTGAGTGGAGTGTCCAGAAAGGCGCTATATAAGTGTAAGCAGGTATTATTATTATTTAGTTCAGGGGGGGAGCTGCATCAGCATGTGTAGCCTGCAAAGGAACAAGTAAGAGGTTTATTCCATGCTGAAGAGCTGCTGAGCCTTCTTCAGGCATGAGTATCCTGCTCACACCTGAAGAAGGCT